CTACATTAAGTAATCTTTTTAATTAATCAAATGCATGCTCATGCAAATGAATTTATAAAATATATAAACATAAAAAAGGAAACATGCGGCTTACTTCAAGTAATCTGCTTTCTTAAATACGTTGTTAGTTGAGTTACACAAAAAATTAAATACGAAAAACATTGGTTCACTATTATATGTATCACGAAAAATATTAACAGTAATCTTTCAATTAAAAAAGGAATGTACACTCATTTCACAAACACTTGGGAAATTCCGTAACTATTTTAACAAACTGAAACACAAATGAAATATAAGTTAATGTATAAAACGGTCATACTTAACGAACTACTGAAAAAGGCAATGCTTATTTGTTTGATTCCCGCCATTCTATCTAATAAAATGATTACATATCTCCATAATTATTCATTAATGAAAAATAATAGAAAATATTTTAAAATGACCAATATTTATTGAAGAACATAATTGATGAATCCTAAATTAAGACCATTATAAATTTAAAATATCAACCCGTAGTAAATTTGTTATTAAGAAATTAAATTTGATACTTAATAAAATATATTATTTTGAATTCAATTTTAACACTTTCTCATTTCACTTAATATGAAAACTTTATACTAAAATTAGTACAATATTATGCATTATCAACCACAGGCGGATCCACTGGGGAGGGAGGGGGGCTTTTGGGCTGAAGCCTCCTCCAAAATGGTAAAATATAAACATATCTTATGGATGAAATATTAAAAAATTATCTCTAAAAATATTATTATTCGTGTAATTACATTTCATAGGACTTCAAGAATCACTTAAGCACCGTTTTATATAGTTAGTTTTTTTAAAAATAATAATCGTCATGTATATATATAAAAAATCTTTCCGGCTGAAGTCCCTCCCTCCAAATTAAATCCTGGATCTATTAGTGTTAAGAACGAAAGTAAGGACATTGATGTTTTTAAAAATGAAATTTAGAGGTAAATATTACATTTTGTGGGTTCATTTTTCTTTTATGACATAAATTATCTGATTACAAATTTTAATTAATTAAATAACTAAAACCTAAATATTTTAACTATTTATTTAGATTAGGACTGCAGGCGTTACCTGTGTTTCACAATCCTCATCTAAATAACTACCATTCATTGTTTTGATTTGAACAATGATTGTATTTTTACATTAAATTAATAATTTACGTATTTACTTAAGTTAATTCAAGTATTATTTTTTAAAAAGAGGCACATTGTAAAATTATATTGTTGTGTATAAAATTTAATATTGTGTTTTTGTGTAATAAAATTAACTTTTATATTCTTTCTGGGAACAAAAGGACAAGAAATATTCCAGGATCTGTTAAATTTAAGGTTTAGGAAAAGAAAAGAATTCGCAAGGATTCTGAGTTACTACTCATATTATCAATACATAAAAAAGGAGACCACAGGTATTGTCTAAACCACGGTGACATCTCATTCCTTATTGTAATGAGCAAGGTCTACTTTAAAATTCTAGAGAAAAGATTAAGAGGATTCGTTGAGAGACCCCTAGAAGATGAACAATATGGTTTTAGGCCATAAAGAAACAACCAAGATATTTGTAATGAAACAACTCTTAGAAATGGTTTTGAAAAATAATTAAGAGGTTTATACCTGTTTTGTGGACCGAGTAACAAAGTCTTAATACGACCATTCTTAGAGTACATAAAAAGCAAATAAGTGTGGTTAGAATCAACAATCATACAACTAGGAAGTTTAAGAGCACCCAAAGAATAAGAAAGTCTTAGCCTATTATTGTTTATAATAGTGCTAAACATGGCATGAATGAAGCCTTTTAGGGTAGCCCATAGAGAGCTGAAACCAATCCATTTCACTCTCCTATCATATACCGTGGCCATAAAAGCATTTTCATGAATATATATGTGCAGGCTGAATAACCCTTAATTCTCTAGAATAAATTATTCAAAATTATTTTTTGGATCAAAACAAATATATTTTGCTATAGGTATACAATCATGTCAGATCTACATTGCTTAGGAACTAAAATATTTTAAGTTAAAAACTTTGGCTTTAAGATGGTTTATGAATTTCAAAACCTAGAAAATATTAGCCTCTGCTGCATATTTCAGCTTGAAAAATATTTTTATTTCTTATTTTACAGGTAAGCAACCTATTCTAACCAGAGTGGAAGATTTGAAATCCATTACATTTCAACTCACCCAGGAAGGATTTGAATGGATGCCACTAAACTCGAGTTTGTTAAGGTTACTACAACCCAACGCCCCCACACTGTATTTCATAAACTTTCTTTGAGTTGGAAAACTATATTTCATAAATAACTCAACATCTAACATACCAAGATTTTCTGGAAAATAATTAAATCGATGAAAGGAAAGGCGAGCAAACCTATTATAAATGTTAATTATGAATCAGGGCAAATAATTACAGAAGAGGAAACTGTTGGAGAGATGGCAGTGCCATTATTCTGAATTGTTCTCTGGTGGCTCGGAAGAGAGAGTGGAAGACAGGCAGGAAACAGAGACAGTATATGATGATGTGATCTGGGAGGAGGATACCATGAAGGAGGAAATTTGGAGATCCACAATTAAAGAAAGCTTTACAGGACCTGTTTCAGAATATATTTTCTTCTAAATCTATGGCGGAGGAACGGAGGTGCAACATCATCATACCAATCCAAAATAAAGGAAGCTCTAGTGAATGCCTAAATTCTAGGCGTATATGTCTCTCATCTTTAGTTTATAAACATTACTCCTCCGTACTGGAAAGAAAACTTACATTAAATATTGAAGGCAAATTAGAAGAACAGAACAGCAAGCAGCTTTTAGACCCCACCATTAAACATAGGATCACATATTCTCCTCACTAAGGAGGATTATTGAGAAGTTATAGGATAGAGGAAAGAGTTTGTACTTGGCCTTCATGGGCATAAAGGCAGCATTCAATTCCGTCCCCAAAGAAGAAATATTGAGAGCTTTAGTCATTAAAAATGTTCCTACAGAATTAATAAGTGCCATAAAATCTACTTACCATGACTACAAAGGAGTAGTTAGATAGAATTAACGGGAGCATGTCTGAGACCTTCGCCATGAAAAGGGGTGTTAGGCAGGGTGACAGACTTAGTCCTCTCTTTTTCATATTTATGGATGAAATATTGAGAATATACAAGCAGAAGAACACACAGGCGGTCGTGGGAAGGTGGAACATGAGGACAATGGTTTTCGCAGATATTGTCCAATGGCAGATTCCAAAGAAAATCTACAGCAGGCGGTTACTGATTAGGAGGCTGGACTAAAAAGAAAGGGCATAATATTAAATGTTAGAAAAAGCAAGCTGATACACATTGGTCATGAAGAGGAGGAAGTTTTGGTTCACAGCAGAGGAGAAACCTTGTAGACAGCGTGAAATGTGAAAATGGACCAAGAGCTCTCAAACATGATTAAGAAAGCTAACAGCATATACTACTAACTATGAAACGTGGTTAGGGAAAAGGGAATTGGAAAATAGTGTAAAATTACATATCTTTAAGTTCATATACTTACCTACCCTTATTTATGGAAGTGAGAGTTGGGTCACGCTGGCTCGGCATTGGAGTAGAGCTACTGCTGCAGAAATGAAGTATTTCCAGAGAATAGCAGGAAAAACAAGGAGGGACATGGTTTCTGATTCCACTCTTTGTTTCATCGGTAATGAACAGTTGTCATTTGCATTAAAAATCATTCCTCTTCTTCTTACTAGCTTGCAGTGTTCCTCCAGTGATCTTCGCTCTCACCAACCTTTCACTCCATTTATATTAACAATCTTCATGATTCTTTCCGTTATTTACAGTACTACTTATACGCTGACCTCCAAATCTATAATTTCTTGCAACCCAGCGAGATGCTTGAGGCGATATGAAGGTTACAAGAAAATTTGATTATTGTGCATATTTAGCTTCAACAGGCATTATGCATATTTTGATTTTTAAATTTAATTTATTCATAAAAGTTGTTCAATTAATACAAATACTACATGTTAATTTTTATGCCAATTAATAATTGAAAAGTTAGCCAAATTTCAAACTATGCTTCAATATTACATTTAGCCAGGTGAAATTCTGCAAGACATTTCTGATATAATTACTTATCATAATCAAGTCTAATGTCTACAATTATACTATTCTTCACAAATATTACCTGCATGTTTTAACATATGTTGCATGACATTGGCATGTTGTGAAAAAGTACTAATAATTGAAAAAGTTAATTGCCTTGTATTGCATTTGTTTTAAGGTAAATAATATTTAAATTTGGTCGATCAAATTTATATTATAATAGGTGCTTATGTTTAGTCTTTTATTAATTGATGTGGAATATAAAAAGAGATGGCTGCTAGTAACCTTAGTCAAGTATGCATCAAAACATTGAATGGTTATCTCTCGTTAATATTTTTAAACTAAACTTAAATTAATTTGAGCTTTTTTTTTTCTTGTATTATTGCAGAAAAGTAATGCATGGAATTTTAACACTACTTTCCATTCTTTAAAGCTACTACACATACAAATGCTTGTTCTCATCGCATAAGAACTTAACACCATAGACTATTTGGCGTAAGTGTTAAATAAATTAAGTTACTTTGTAAATTTTTTTTTTTTCAATAAAGTTTATTTTTGTATTCTTTCATTACAAATTGCCTATTGCAGACATTATTTTACTATGAAAAATTTCCTGAATCAGTAAATATAAGCAAATCAGCAAGCTTCAGTGAATTAATTTAAACTATCCAGGTGAAGGCTGTGAGAAATTTAATTTTTTCTCCTCTTCTTTAAATGCATCTGGACCATAATGAATGTGTAAATATACAATGAATGCTAGATATATGATTTATAAATAATTTTGACCAAAAGTTTTTCATTAATAAAATTAAATCAGGGTGGGAAGAATACTGTTTAGTGAAAATATCCAAGAATATGTATAAAACTCTGGGATTAAAGGAATTAAAAGAAATAGATCCTGTTTAGTTTTCTTTCTTTTTAATACTTACTATGAATATGAACTACATATTAACTAGGAGGCATAAAGGAATTATTTTCATATTAAAAATACACTCATAAAAAGCTTTTATACCTTTATATGATATAATTATAATTTACAATTAGGCTTAAGGCATTTTGTAAGGCAAAGCGAAACATACAATATAAAATACACAAGGCAATAGCATTATCAAACATTAAGAATGTATAACAAATTATAAAAAAAAGAAATATACAACTGACAATTAAAAATAATAATGATTTTTGCCACACAATTATAAGTGTTATGACAAATATAGCAAACTAAATATAATGAAAAACAAATATGTTTCTTTGGAAAATAGAAAATAATAAAATAAAATTATATCACTGCTCCCATACAAAACAATAATTGAAATTCTTTTGTCTTAACCTAAGGTGATACAATTTAATGATTTTAAAAACAAACACGGGAGGCTTTTATTAATGTTCTGATTTTCTTTTAGAAAGAAAAAAAAAAGAAGAAAAGCTAATCATCAATACAGCTTAATTATACTTTCATTTATTTTAATATCCACAGGAATCTGCCATTTTATTACATTTAAAAAAAATATTCATTAACAACAAAAATTATTAAAGAAATGTATAAAACTAAGGGGATGCCTGGATCCTAATGTTTATCATTACTAAATAATTATTACATTAATCAGCACTTTCCTTTAACAGCGTATATATATATTTAACAAAAGACAATACCGATATCAGTCTATAAGGCTTCAACGTGAAATATTAGGAGCCATATTCCTGAGCATCAATCATCAGTTGTTGATGTTAAAAAACATGATTCTTGATATAACAATTCTAAATTTATCCAAATCATTACAAAAGAAACAAAAAATACAAGAAAATATAGGAATCTTAAAATAAGTATACTACATTTAAAAAATAAAATAAAAAAAATATATATATATTCATTATAATCAAAGCTCCATCAGAAATAAAAATCAAAATAAACACACAAAGGAAAATTGAAAACACATTAAACTGGACCCTACTAGATCACATTTCTCTTCATTTTTTTTTTATTTAGGAATGGGCAGTGTGAATCTCGATGTACTTACTTAGTGCTTACAACCCAACCCTGTGGCGATGTGAAAGACCCTACTAAATATATCTCTTCTATAATTGTATATCGTTTATCCTCAGTCAAATGGAAAAACGAATCATTAAAGCGATATGCTTTCGCAGTTGCATAAACTAAAACTGACTAGTAACCTAAAACTGAAAAAAAGAAATAAAGTCTAACAGGATTTTGAAAATATCTTGAAACAATAAAAGAAATATGGCATGAAAACTTTTTGTTTCTTTAATATTTAAGAAAGGAGATGTACATCGATGATGTTGAGTGACGCTAAGTGGTGAATAAAAATTAAGCTGAGGAAACGATCTCTGGTTCGCACTGAGAGAGTCTCTCTTTGTTTTGGCGGACCATTTCAGCCCGTTTCTCCTGCAAAAGACAATTAAAATTAAAATAAATAAATTTAACAGTTTCTTAAATTAATTTTAAAATAGTCTATAAAATCTATAGTTATAAGCATATTAAAAATAGAAAATGTAATCCACAAAATACATCACATTCGAGAATATAAAATTAATTTTATTTATCAATCAATTTACTTTATAACACCATATAGATTGATATAAAAAACATGAGTAATTAAATCATTCTTTTGAATTTACTCTTAAATTTAAATGAGATACTAGGACTATCTGTTTTATAAACATTTTTTTTAAATTTATTTTGTAAAGAAAACTTTTTTAAGTTCTTTGACCTACCAAATAAAAATAAACCGACACAATATTTTAAATAATAATGATGTATTATTTTTATCCAGTTACCATTTACGACCAAGACTTATGTTCCTCCCTTAACTCATAAGTATTTCAGTCAAACCTCCTACGGAGAACTAGTGGCACAAGAAAATATGTATTCAAACTCTTGATCTATACATTACTACTCATGATTTCTAGCCATTTGGTAATACCGGCCTCTATATTAATAATGCAAATCATGGTAAGCAATTAAAAGTAAATTATAACAAAGTAATCCACATTAAGCAATCAAGAAAGATTCCAAGATGACTAACAAGTGAGACTTAACCCAAACATAATGTTAAAAAACATTAATAAAAATTGTAATTATTTACTTAATTAAAATTATTTTCTCAATAAATCCCAAATTACATGATTTTCTCAATTAATTAACGTTGTCGACAGATTAAAAGAAGGTCCTCACAATCAATTTGAGCCTGGTATCCATGGATTTGATGACCATTCTTTTATTTTCTAAGATGAATCCAAAATCATCTTGACTGAATACCTAAAAATCATTAAATTCACCACAAAACTATTTTCACAAGAGTGGCCAAGTTTATAAACATTTTCTAATAACAGATCAAACATGTTTTTAATACAATTCATATGGGCCACATAAAGAATGCTTCAGAAAGAGCTTAACAAAAACAGGCGCTGTCATTACCATTTTGTACTCGTGTTGTTTTTAATTTCCATCAATTCGGTTTTTAGCAGAGGTTGAAACATTTATGGAACATTGAATACTTAATAGTTGACCGTTGTATTATTAAGAAAGGAGATGGTCCGGGGTAGCGGTCATAAATAGACTAAATAGTGACAAAACTATTTTATTAAAAGCCAACATTTCAACCCAACTTTGCAGGTCTTCTTCATGACTAGAACGGACAAAATACAAAAAGATATGGAGAATTGTTGAAGTTACATAATATTTAGACACAAAATTATAAACAATATGAATTAATTTATTAAAATTATAAACAGTAAGTACATTAAAATATAAACAGAGTAAGATAAGTAACAAGATCCTAAACTGAAGTAAATAGATTGTTGCAGTATAAAATATAATATAATATATGCAATTGTGAATATACTCCTACAGATCTACAGGAGAGATTGGAAGAAAAGGAAAAAGGTTATAATATGAAATAATGGACAAACAGGGATGTGGAGAAAGAAAAGAAGAAAGAAGACCAAAAAATAAGTTAATAATATTTTCAATTCTCTATATCTTTTTGTATCTTGTACGTTCTTGCCCTGAAGAAGACCTGCAAAGTTGGGTCGAAACGTTGGCTTTTGATAAAACAGTTTGGCCACTATTTAGTCTATTTATGACTGCCACCCCGGACCATCTCCTTCCTTTTATGGAATATATTAAAAACAATCCATAAAACTTTTTAGGAAAAGAGTTCTATTATAACAGTTTCTGTGAAATATTTTAGAGAAAAGGTTTTTAAAATAAAATTTCTACAGAAATTTTTTGCAAGAAAGTTTAAGGTTTATGGAAAATGTTTAACACGTTCCCGCCGGGACCGATTATTATTTGTTTTGCTGTGAGGTGGCGCTGAAATTAATGTCCTGCTTCATCTGGTAGGCGCGATTAATTAAAAAGTTGATAATTAAAATTAATTCAACTTTTTAATTTTCTATTAATTAATTTTTTATTTAAGAAAGTTTAAGGTTTATGGTAAATGTTTAACACGTTCCCGCCGGGACCGATTATTATTTGTTTTGCTGTGAGGTGGCGCTGAAATTAATGTCCCGCTTCATCTGGTAGGCGCGATTAATTTTCAGCGTCTAATAGCACAATCGAATAATAATCTATACATAATATTTAACATATACACGCCGGCGTGTACCACCAGTGGTACGCGTCGCCCGATGAGACAATCTAGTACAGGTCCACCGGTGGTACACGCCGGCATGAATGTGTTAACTTCTATTTATTCAACTTTTACAAAAAAGTCCATCAAATGAAAAATGAACAGTAAATGGGCTTATATTAGAGTTATAATTTGTTTTCAATGAATATGATTCTTATGTGTCGCTTGATTGATATGAACAAGTCATTTTTTGATAAACTTTTTAGCGAAAGCAAAAAACTTGTAAATCAAAGTTTTCTAAAAATAAAGTTCTGTAAAACCTTTAGTTGAAAAGTTGCTAGGAAAACGTTTTAGTTCCAAAATAACTAAAAAACTATTGATAATAAAAATTCCAGTGATACCAAAACTTTTTTAAAATAAAAGTATTTTTCAGTTTTAAGTCCTGATTTTCAGCTGTTTAAATTTATAAAAAAACAAAATTTGAAATCGAAACATTGATATTAAGTTTGTAAAAAAAAAAAAAAGAAAAGTATTTATACTTAAAATATGAATTCTAGTTCATGATGGTTTAATTTAGTGATGGGCGAGACATTAAAATGTGCAAATAAACCATTTTCTAGTATATTTAATTTCTTTATCTAGTGAATTCTACCATGATGTCACCTACAGTGGCACAGTGTTTTAGACAAACGACTTAGCTCCACAATTCTATATCAAAATCATGGTCTTTTCTATTACGAGAAAAGATTTTCATGATCGCAATACTTTTCCATATTATATACTACATATATAGAGGTTAATGAAAGTAAAAATTGAGTAGACCTACATTAATTTACTATCACTTATAAAAAATGATAAGTTAATAAATTGGTTAGAATCATTACACAGTAAGAAAACCAAAAACATTAATATTAAATTATTAGTTACAATAAAATAAGATTAGTTTAATTAAGAAATGAAAATAAATGCAATAAATATATTTTGATGTTTCGACGCAAACACATTGGCTAACCTAATAAAAATATCAACTAAAATTCCTGACAATTTTGTTTCATCCTTATAATTAATCAGTTGACTACTTACCCATTTTTAAATATTTAAATATTGGGATCCACTTAAACATGCTACGACCCAAACATGTCAGCTAATCTAATAAAAAAATAAATAAAAAACGTGTACCACTACATCCCATGAAGATTCTTGGATTCAGTATTATTTAGGGAAAGTACTGTTTCAAGGCCAACGGTTGCGCAGGGAGGGGATTGGGCCAGGATCACGCTCAACTGCCAGGTTTTCCTCCTTAATTAATTATATAATTAAGGTTGCCCACTTTGTAGAGGCTGGGTGTGCCCCAGGAGGGTCTCCCTACCCCAGGGTCACCTTCCTTAGGCCATGAAACAGAATAAATAAAGTTTCTGCCATGAGCCGGGATTCAAACCTGGAACACCTTGGACATTGGAAGCTTAGCGGCCTACCATTGAGCTACCCCACTCCCTAACCTAATAAAAATGTCGACTAATTTCGTTTCATCCTTAAAAATTAGTTCACTATTTTTGAACTAAAAATTCACAACTTATTCTAGTAGATCGAACATTGATTCAGAACTTTACAATGATAAGTTACAAATATTGATATCACGGTCCTGAAATAGGATTAGTAAACAGAAATAAGGGTTTATATAAAAAATATAACAGCCAACTATATAATTATTGTTCCAGAAAAAAAAAAAAAATAGATCTGAACAGGATTAAAATTTTTCCTCACACTACTTAATTTGAACTAAGAGCTTTAAGACTACTATATTTTTCCAGTCATTGGCTCACTATCTTTCTGGAAAAACCTTCAAGTCTCTGGACAAGGAACAAAATGGAGTGTTGGTAATGGTTTTCAATTTTAGTAACTCTTTGAGTAAACTGCAGTATTTTTAATTTGAAATAAAGGGGTATGAAAAAGTGTTTGGACAAAACAAATTTTTATAAAACTTATTAATGTTTCGATCAAATTAAAGATGTTTTTATCTTATTAAATTAAACTTGTTACTTTTATTTTAGAAAATGGCATAACACCATATATTTTATTGTAATCATGCTGAAAAATAAAGTTCCGTCAAATCAGATAAAGCTAATCTACGCACAAAAGGTCTCCAAACATTTCAAATTTTGACTCATCTCTCAAAAATAATTTGTTCCATTCTTCTTTTTCTATCCAATTTTAGTTTTTTAGAAAACTTAAGCCGCTTTCACTTGTTCGGATATCAAAAACATGATTTTCTTCTGGTACTGGTAAAACAATCTTCAAGGCTAATTGATAGGAGTTTCCTTGTGATCATGGAGGACATAACTGGGGTCCTTATAGTTCTCTGGAAGAATTTTAATGGTAGTGCAAACAATAATTTTAAATGTGGTTCAACAACAGCACCATGTTTTTAAACCTGCCTGAATGTTTTAAGTCTCTAGTTTGCTTGGTTTTAAAAAACTTTTTCATGGGCGAAAAATGGAACATGAATTCCAGAAATAGAATCTTGAACTTTTTTTTTTTAATTTTCCTGATAATAAGTCTTCGTTGATGCAAAATTATAATGTTATGGCATTCAAAAATATGATTTTTAGCCATTTTCTGGTATAAAAGTAACATTAAATAGAAAACAGGAAGAAACTACAAAATATTGAATGTTGAATTAAATTACCAAAAAACAAGTGAATAATTCCAATATTAGAAAAAATTTCACAGATACACTTAGCTTTCTAGAATTTGTACAACAGTTAAGACTGAAGTAGATAATAAAGTAGTGAAATATAAACAATAAGGTAGCATTATACAGAGAACAAAAAATACCAACACAACGGTCCCCTGACTTGTTAATTGAAAATAATGCTAATATAAATATATATAACTTCTTCAATGTCTGCATGGTTAAATAATTTTATTATTAAGAAGACAAATACACTTTTAAAATGAAATATTAACTATTTTCATAAAAATATGGTATGTTAGAAGACTTTTTCACACCAATGTAAGTTCTCTTATTTTCCAACTTTCTGGATTTTAAAATCAAAGGTAGATGACCCTCTTATCCCTCCCATGGAGAGGTTCCTCAATGAATGTCTGGGATAAATTGGTCCGTGTACTTTTCCAAATATTCTTTTAAAGATTTATTTAATTAATATACAAAAAGCTATGTCAGTTTTATAAAAACATGACATAAATTTGTATTAGGAGTAGATAGACGGCTTTCTAAAGATAATGGAAAAGAAATAAATCTCTGTTCCACATTTTTTTTTGTTTCCTTTTGGTTCCTCAGTACAGAAGGCTTCCTCACTACCGAAGGTAGGGAAGCATTGTATTCGTGCGAGTGATTAAAAAGAATATTGTGCTCAGAATCAAAAATTTCTAATCACATTTTTCATCATTTCAGATATCAAGGATCAAATTTGATCAAAATTCTGATCAAAAAGGATCAATTATTCTGTTTCATTGGCCGTGGGGGGACCCTGGGTAGTCTCTTGGGGCATACCCAGCCTCTATAAAGTGGGTACTCTTAATTAAAATAATTAATTAAGGAAAAAACCTCGCAATTGTGCATGATTTTGGTCAAATGACTTCCTTACACAACCGTAGACCAAGAAACAGTAATTTCCCTAAATAGTACTGAACCCAAGACCCTTCATCAGTTGCAGTGTATCATCAAATATGCAATCTGTAAATGCGGAACTCTTTTTATACTTTAATATTCGCTGATAAACAAAACTCATGGATATTAAACCCATATATGTTGAGAGATTACTGAATTTCTGAAAACGGCTTCTCCCAGAGATTTATTGTACACTGCAATTTATTCTCATATGAAAAATTTTAGACGTCGTAATATAGATATTTTTTAGCCAATGAAAACAGTGAGGAAGGTATACTGATCTTACTTGGTAGGGGAGTTTCCTTTGTTATGTGTTGAAATATGTTTGTTGTCCCGAATCATCGACTTTTTTTCACAGATTTCACAGAACAAAACAGCACTGTTCCATGAAAACTTTCATTCACAAATGTATTTCGATACTAAGAGCTATAGAGGTAAATTTGACTTTTAGGCATTATACAGATTAAATAAAATAAGTTTAATTAGACTCATCTTGACACTTACATAATGTAATCAATTCTGAATAGTAAAAATAAAATTGATAAGGAAAACTATTTTACAACTTTGTTTTAAATCTGATTGGACAGAATTTCAGGCTCAGGCATCTAGGGTTCTTTCCTACTCCAAAATTCACAGAATTTCTTATTTTAATCTTGTTTTACATGTTAAGATACTTTTTTCTATTTGTTCTCAATTTTTCTATTTAAATTTTGATTATTAATATTCTTTGTTGACTAAATACAGACAATACTGCATAAATATACTGAAAATACGTAAAATGAAAAAGACTTTATTTTATTTAAAAATTAAAAGGAACACAAAATTCATGGTCAAAGAAGGGTGTTAGAAGATTTAGAAAGAAATAGGTAAATAAATACAAATACAGTCCCTTTATATTAGTTATAAGGTTTTAAATCATCTATAAAATCTTAATTAATCCTCATAACTAACATGGATTAACAATAACCTCAGTATTATGAGATCAGGTCCCTCATAGAATATTGGAAATGAAACAAATTTTTGAAAAAATAACATTAACGTGTATTTTACTGTGTATATATATATTTTTAAGCATTAAAAAGATCATTAAAATGTTTTTATAATTTTATAAGAGATCTTATAAATGATGAAAATTTTATTGATCAAATTGAAGTTTAGTGTTATACAAAATATGTTTAATAATGAATATTTATTTTTTCTACTAAATAAATGGCACTAACAAGACTACAAATTAAAAACCTAAACTTAAACTTACAAGAAGTTTTAGAAAATTTTTTATAAAAAGAAATAGGAAAAATGCAGTTTTTAAAAGAAATTTGAATTGTATAAACTGAAGGCGAAAAACCTTCAAAAAGAGTACCTACATTCTTTTTTATTGGTTCTAGTTTTTTGGCTATTTCTTGTTCACGCTTACTTCCCGCATATTCTATTTTTTCTTGAATTTCCTTAACTTTTTCACTTTGTTTTTCCATATCTTCTAAGGTTAGCTTCAATTCATTAATTTTCATAAACTTCAAATTATTCTAAGCAGGTTAGAACAAAAAAAAAAAAAATTAACATGCAAAATAAAAAAAAAGAAGCAGTAAAATGATGCAAAAATTCACACACACACACACACACAAAAAAAAATACTTATAAGGTCAAACATAAAATAAAAATAAAAATCTACATACAAGCGTGCGCAATTTTTCCCTCTGTTCAGCTTCAATTTGTTGTTTACGAATGATAGCAGAATCCATTTTGCTTTGCAATTGTGCTTCTAGCGAATTGATTTTTTCTTGCCAGTTGGATCTGATTTTTTTAACTTGATCCTCCTAATGCGTAAAATTGGATAAAAAAAAAATAAATGAAAAAAAAAGCTTTAACTAAAAATTAAGAAGCATGCATATTTACAGGTACATAGTGAAATACTGAAATGAACAGATTAATGTACTTATTATTTTTATAGCTGTCACTTAATACCATGATGCGCTTTACCATAAATATTAAAATTTTTATTTATAATAAAAACCAATTTGATTTTGTATAAATAAATTATGCTCAATGAACCATTCTCAGTAATATTAAATCAAACAAAGATTGAATTGAAGAAAAATATCACATGAAAACATTGGATACTGCCTATTTAGAACAACTTAAATCTGGAAGAGATACATATGTATTGATGATTATTATAACATTATCTTTAAAAATTTCAGGAGATGGTTTTATTAATAACTCAAAACATATTAAACTTTGATGATGGACTTTTTAATTATAAAATTGATATTGTAGACTAATTTAATTAGACAAAGAGTAACAGATTTTGCTGGAGGGATAAGTCAGTTTTTATTAAAGAAAAGCAAAGAGAAATTATAATAAATATAGATGTGTCAATAGTAAATATAGCAACGTCAGTTTTATACTAGTGCCCGTAGAATGGTCATATATCAGTAAAATCAAAAAAGTGATTTGATAAAAAGAATATGAAAAGTGTAATTTCAAAATATGATAGATAACTGATGGAAAGTTTTACGAGCTTTTGGATAGGCAATGATAGAATGCAATTTAACAGTGCTTGTGGGAAAGTTAGGAAATCAGGAAAATTTAGAAATCTAGATACCACAAACAGCAGGCAAGTAGACTTCATATTATAAATATACCAGTGACATTTAAACTTTTTGCTGCAGCCTTCATTTTATCAAAATATCTCACTTGTGAGGGCGTATTTATTCATTTTTTTTTTTAAATTCACATAATTTCTAGGACAGCCCTTCTAGAAAGAGATAGGAAACACTGCATGTTTTCTGAAGTGAGTAAAGAATACAATTACTTTTCCGAAGAACCATCCACATCGAAAGTATTCATGAAATAAAATAATAAACCAATAAGACTGGTAATACAATATCTATATCAATGAAAAGAAAGACCAGCTATTAGAATCTAGCAAGTAAGTAAGTATGCTTTGAAAAACAGGACAACAAAGAAACTCTACTAAATGGTGGCAGATTCTCAGTAATTATACAAATGATTATATAATATTATCTCATATATTGTAATATATAAATGTATCTTGGAGTAAGATAGTGAAGAACTTTTAGAATTAATGAAGAAAGTTATGATATTTTTGAAATGACACCTGATGATTTCATTCAAAAGTTCAAAGATGCAGAGTTATTACTGAAAATTAAATTGAGAGTAATATCACAACGGACAATTTAAGCAGTTTCCCTCTTCCATCTAATCTTTCATAAACTAAATTCCTCCTGATACCAGTATGAATATACAATATAAAATAATTTTATTTTTTATTACTTTGAAAACTCTAGGAATGCTTTCCAAAATTATCATAAGAAGCTATAAAAATTCAAATGAAGCTTCAATTTTGGACATGCACATTAATAAGGACTTAGTTGAAAAAAAGAAAAGAAAAATGAATTTTTCAAAAAATTATCTGTGACATAAGTTCTGGGAGGTTTAAATGACTATTGCCATTGTTTATTAATTTAATATGAAGTGGCTTATCTACAATTGTCCAGGTGATGCAACTGCCTCAATAGCAGACAGTAGTGCACAAAAGCACTAAACTAAGAAAATCATTAAGAACGTCTACAGCTCATGAAATAATTTAGTGATCTAACAGAACTTGAAAAGACGTACCAAAGATTTAGATGACACCTCCGTGCAACATCTTGATCAAGACTTGACACCTACAATATCAAGAAATTATGGTGGAAACAAATAAGAACCTTAAAACAAACTTAAAACTATGGTTTAAAAAGAAGAACCAAACACCTAAAACCTTACAACCATGGAGAAAATCAACTTAATGAGCTACAAACAATTCCCTTATAAAATAGAGACTAATGCAACTTTAAGGCTACAGGTGGTTCTCGCACTCATGTCAGGTTCTGTCCCTTGGAAAGTAACATAAGCCGAGTCTAGCTCGACATAAATGTAGATACAGTACAATCTCAGTAATCCTAACTGGCAAAAAAATAAATTAAATAAAACTGGGGGAAGGATGACTGAAGTTATGTGCAGGAGAGGATGAAAAAAGAGAGAAACTTACAAAGGGAAGATCAAATTTCTAACAAAAAAAATCCACTGAAAAGTCAAATTTTGATGATTTTTTTCTTTTTTTCTTGTGGCTAATTTTGAGTAATCTTCTCATTTTTTTAAATAAAAATAAAATGATAAGAAAATATGAAGACGCAATGCCACATTTTAATTGTATTGTATGAGCCACAGTGAGCAATATGTCGTGCCAGCAATTTCCGCACGAACTACTGGAGAATAAACAGTGAGCAAATTTCTATAAAAGTGAAACAAAAGTTCGTTTTGAAAAAATGAAATGCCCTTATGAATAATATAACAATTTAATATTTTAAAATATATATATATATATATATATATATATATATATATATTATATATATATATATATATATATATATATATATGTATATGTATGTTTTAAGTTTTAATCTTTTATTTTATGTAGTTTTCTCAAATTTTTAAAGAACATTATTGTCAGGATAACGAATGAACTTATGAAAACCGTATTAATTTAGCAATAACATCACATGAATAAGAGTATCAGAAACTGGTAAAATAAATAGAATAACATGTTTCACATTAAAATACGTTTTTCTTTTATTTAAATTGTATTTGAAATTAAGCACTTCTTTTAACATACTGCAACTTTTTGGGCATTATTTAGGTTTTGGAGTTAAGATATTAATTGTGCTTGAATTTGTGCCGTCAGAATTACTACGGACATCTGACAGAACGTGGTAAACTGAGAGGTGCAGTTCATACATTGGAAAGTCACTCGGATTCCTTTTTTAATTAAATTACTAATCCGATTTCTGGCACTTGTGACATCAGGATGGTCCAGGCCATTGCAGACCGACAGTATCTGATATAAATAAGTAAAAAATGGTAACACAATTGAAAATATATATAACGGAATGATACATTTAAAGGTCTTGCTGAGCCTTCCTTAGTTAATCTTTATTTCTTGACTTTTAATTGGTAATATAGGGCTCACCTCTATTTTCATAATTTTCTTGTAAGACTAATTTAAAACCTACCTTACATCTATATTACATAGATTGAAAATTTTAACATTATTTATTTATGCAAAAGATTTATAATATGTAGGAGTACGGGGAAATGGTTCTTTCTGGATATACTGTTATTTTTCTATACAAAATTCAATTAGTGCATTTCATAAATTCAAAATGTGAGGAAAGAGCTGCAGAAAAAACAATTCATAAGTATTTTACTGAGAATGTTCACTATTTAAATGTTTCCTTTTTTAAATCTAATTTTAAAGAATTGTTTAAAAAATGAAATAGTAAAGCTCATGATGGAGTGTACAGAAATGTCAACTGTTGCTTGGACAATTGTAATCTTTTCGGTTCCCTATAATAATTCTATGCAAAATAAAATAATAAAAAAAGAATTAAATGTATTCCACTAAACTTTGCTCTTTTTTGCTAAAGCAAAAAATATAACCGTGAATAAAAAACATAAAGCACCATATTAGTAGAACTGTAAGAATTTCGTAAAAATGCTGAGTAAATACTAACATGTTCTTTGAGCCTATCAAGGATTTTTTTGATATTTTCATCACGATGTGCAGCAGCGGATTTCAATTTCTCTTCTACTGCAGTACGAACATCCTGTGTCTGTTGCTCGAGGAGTTGACGACTTTTCTCTACTCCTTCCAACTAAAATTAACATGCAATAGATGCAAGTGGTGATTACTAATTGCTATGATTAATCAACACACATGTGATATTAAGTGAGTATAAACTTGATAGTGGGGTAAATATTTATCATGTTGAAATATAAGTATAAATTATAAATTTTACAAGAAGCAAAATTTTGGGAACTGATTTCTTGCATAAGTTAATAGAAAATGATATAATCATAGATTCCGAAAAGAAATCATATTTACCCAAACTTAGAATTCTTATCTTTATTTTTCAAACTGATTCACATAATATTACTAATCAATCGTGTAAAACTGATAAAAAAAAAAAAAAATACAAAAAATCACAATCTAAGACTACCAAACCATTACTCAAATATAATAAGAATTGCTTTACAAATATAATACAAATGTAATAAAATATTTACAACCTGGGATCAATTCAACAAACACAAAAAAAAATATAATGTCAAAAACTATTTAGAAAATAAATAAATTACTCCCCTTCACTAAAAAATTGGATTTTAGACTTGAAGTGATTAAAAATCAATGTACTTTTGAAAATTAAACAATATAATGCGGCCAAATATTGATTTCCTAATTTATTTAATAACTAATGATTTAATGAATAAAAGTTACATATAAATCTTGATGAAGAATGGACAAAATAAAAAAAAAATTAATACTTACATGATCTTTAAGTTTTGTTTTGATTTCCGATATATACTGTTCACGTTTTTCTATATGGGTTTCCATCTTTTGTTCAAGCGCTTCTTTTGTCTGATTGATGAACACAGAATTTTGTTCATCCTTCTTTTTTGAAGCTTCTTCGATTTTCGATAGCTGTGCAGCCAATGTGGCCATTTTATTGGCTTCCAAACTCTGGAAATGAATACCAGAGAAATGTATAATCCTCATTTGACAAAAAACATAGTTGCTCAATAGTAATAAAAAAAAACTATGATCAAAAGCTCAAAAAAGTATTACATTTGAAAATAGTAATTAGGGTAATTTTTGTTTTAAGACGTTAAGAAATTGTTGGACATGGCTGTCACTTGAGTGGGACAATCTGGGCACCATAGGAAGGGCTAAGAATTAGAGACAAGAATATATAATATTCTTATAAATAGTGCTATTTATGTTTTCCACTTTCGGTTTTATACCATTTTATGTTCACTAAGACCTTCATATATAAGTTGTCAAGTAAAAATAATTATTTCTAAACTCAGTTCCAGTTGCTGTTATTAAATAAAAAATACAAGATAGCTAGAGATAAAAAAAATTATTCATTATTAGAGGTGGTGCAAAGGTATAAAAAGTGTAACTCACAGAAATGTGAAAATAGGCTACTTTCCGATTTGGAAGAGCGTGAGGGGAAAAGAGGGTGTCTGGTAAAATTTGACCCAAGGCTTCTGTAACCCTTAAGATGACAGCCCTGTTAATATAGGGTTCATTAGGTTATTTACTAACAATATATATTAATATTACGGTAGTTCTATTAATATATGGTTCCTTTAGTTTTAGTATCTGGTAGCTATTATTCTGCTGTTTTTTTCCCAAATATTTTTTACGATTAATAATTAAAACTTTAAAACTAATGACATGATCAGTTTAAGTTTTATGCCAACAATATGTTAATTTTAACAGCTTTTGTAAGTTTTCTTTAGTTAATTACTATTTTAATTGTATTGTATTTTATGATAACATTAAAATAAGGATTTTATCATGGAAAAATTTCCCATAAGTTGATGGATTAAAAACAAACCTTCAAGTACCCATGCCCTAAATGATATTTATGATTCAGAACTGCAACAAATTTTCAAGTAAAATAAATAAATATGTATATTTAAATAAGACAAATATATTATAGCCGAATTTTTAGACAAAATACAGAGATGAGCATTTGGGTGCATTTTTTTTTTTTTTTTCTTCCTGTTGACCCAAGACTTTCATTAAAGTCCTATACAGAGCTGCCTGTAATTTAGTGATTCTTTTTATTCTTGGCTCAATACATCAAAATTAATCCAAATTAAAAAAAATGACTAAAATTAAGATACATACAAGCCTCCTCTCCTCAGCTGCCTTGAGCTTGCCCTCAATATTTTCAGCCGAGGTGGTCTTATTGTTGGGAGAACCGGGCCTCTTTGGGGGAGGGATTGCTGGATCTGCAATGATCACATCAAACTTCAGACCTCCCTTAGATTGCTCCTTGCACCTGATTTCAGTAGCTGCAAAATTAAAAAAAAAAAAATAAACTATTTGTCGAATGATGTAAAATTGAGAAATTCTAAAAAAAAAAAAGTAATCATCAACTGGCACATAAAAAAATTCTTAAAAAACAGATTCATAATTTTTTTAACTACATTAATGAAGTTCTTTTTTATTCCCTAGTTTTCATTTCGGAGAGTCTATAACAAAAGAGTCAATGTAGAAAACAAAATTAATGATGGTTATACTAAATTTGAATAATGATTTTTGTAGATTAATTCTATAATGTTTATTAATACAATTGATTTGAATGTTGCTTATGAATTTCAATTTCTCTTTTACATAGTCAAACAGTTACAAAATGTTTAAAAAAATATGTTTTTCTGTTCAAAATTAGAAATTAGTTTTAGAAAAATATAAAAGCTAACCAGAGAAATTACAAAATGTGAATCAATAACTTTCCTTAAATTGATTTTTTATACAGACCTCCATTAAACTGACTCACTAGAACTCAATTATTAAAAATGTCTGGACTGGAAATGAGGGCACCTCTTCAATTAATATTTCAAAATACAAAATAAAAGCCAATGGGTTTATGAATAAATTTTATTATACAAAGCTGCCTACATAAGTAAAGTAACATTATTTTCAATATTTAATGATTTTATAAATTGAGTTGTTTTTCCCAATAATGATTTAAGATGCAACGTCTTTCTAGTTCATGACACACTGATTGTAAAAAGAAAAAGCGTAATAAAAATAGACCCTCGTTTAGTTAGAATGTGAAATATAATTCTTGGATAATAATAACAATAAATAACCATAATTGTAGTAAAATAATGTCCTGAAAAATAAAAATTAGACCACATAGCTATAACTAAAATGGATATTTAAAAAACAAGCAATTAATAAAACAACTTGAATGATTTTGCATAACAGTTCATTCACATGCAGATTTCATGCGCATTTGTAGCCTAATTATTGAATAGCAACACATAAGGAGTTTATTAGTGTATAAAGGACTACAAAAATATGTGTACATGATAGAATTTCTATAGTACAAAAATTTTTGAAATAATCAATAATTTTAAACCATTTTAACATTGAATTCACTGGATCTATAACAATGAAGCATTTTGTCATCAAAATAGAAGTACATTAATAACGATAACTAAGCAACAAATTTTCACTAGATGCAATTACCTTTACGTTGCCTTTGTTTTCATAAAAACTTTTAAAACAAGATAAAATTAATCCAAGAAAGACAAATAATACTTATACTTTGATAATTAAACTAAAAAATTGAGTGATTATTGGTTGATTTAATTAAATGGAATAAAGTGAGAGCATGCAAAATTAAAATCCTAACCTCTTTAAAAAATAATTGACAATACATATCAGTTTATAATAAAATAGATAAGAGTTTAATGTTAAGAAAAATATTATTTTTTTGCAATATGAATATTAATGATAAATTTTATTAAAAATTATTTTTACAGAAAATCATTAAACAATCGAGAGACCTCATATCAAAGATGGATATCTGAAATTTTCAAAAAGATGAGAAAAAGCTAATATTTGTAGCATAGCTTCCAGTTAGGCCAATTCGAATTATTGTTTTTTGGAATTCAACTTTTTAAGAAAGAGTTTGCATTAAACCTATAAAACAAACATTCACTTATCCTCCACTTCCTGAAAATGAAAAATATCTGTCTTTGATATTAATCTTCAATCAGTGGCAGATCCACAGCAGGTGAAAAAGGACCAAGTCCACCTCCTAAAATAACTATCCAGAAAAAAAAAAAATACAGCTGTTTAAATTAGATTAACTATTAACAATACTCATGAATAAATTATTATTTATGAGGCCAGAGGAAAACTAAAAAACTGACAAGTTATCAGAAAATAATGGTTGTTTTTTGTTGCTGATTATTGTTCATGGCAACAACATTAATTACCTGGTTTAAGCGTAGGATAATCAATTGCAAATATTTCGATTTATAACAATTTCCTCCATAAACTAAGTTCTCTCAAATCCTGTGACCAATCTGGTTTCCCCCTCCCTTTCCAACCAAAATTACTTATAGATGTGTGCTCTGCTTGATTAACTTATTTTTCTTTGCGATTATTTAATTACTGAGAATTTTTATTACCCACTATTTTTTTCCGCAATATCATGCCAAGGAGTTTTAGAATGAAATGTTTCGCCATAAGTAATTTAAATGTCAAAATATATTTTCTCTGAATAAATAATCATATGATGAAAAGGTTCCTATAATGAAAATGGAACAAGAGGATATACAAGGTAACAGCCAATTGCTTCATTTTTACATCAAAGGGAATGCAAAGGCGTAATCTTCTCAAGAGACAAAACAGCTGGAAGGCATTGTGTATGCATTTCATAATGTGCCCACTACATCCTACACTGACAGACTCCATTAATTAAGGCAATGAAATGTTGATTATTTTTGATAGTCGAATCGTTTTCAAATATTGTAAATTGCAAAAAGCTCTTGACTGCAACGTGTTTCGAAACAGAAGCGGCCGAATAACAGTGAATTTGTTAAATGTATATGAAATTAAACGTAATAATTGGAAATGTATGTCCGTATGTATTTGGAAATTTTCCACAAAAAATTGACCCCTTTCCTCTGATTTAACTCAATTTCAAATAGCAATATTACATTGTTCTTTCCTAGCTTGAGATAGGTTTACATGGGAGGTGACATTAATAATGATTTGCTTTAGGAAATGCAAACATTTGCTAATAACGTTTTATTTAATTGACACCAATTCGAAAAAATGATAAAATTTTGCTAATAATAATATATTTCGTTTCAAAACGGTTTGGATCTTTAAATCGTTACGTTGCAAAATGAATCTAATCCAAATAAAAAAATACCAATTCCTTAATTCTTGTTTTTAATAAATTGTTCACTTCAAGTTAATGTAACTTTTCTTCCCAACTTCACCTTTCCGGCTATACGTGTTTTTTCTGGACCAGAGGAAAGAGCAGGAAAGAAATGCCAGACTTAACCTTGGCACCAGGCCTCTAACTTCAGGTTAGAGTAGAGTAACATGATAACATTGTTCAATGCATGAGAGAGGGAAATGAGGATAAAACACTATACATAAAGGAGAGGTCCCATAATAACTTCGTTACCTATTAGTCCATGATACAGACCCCTTTTTATCAAAATATTAACAACCGCCTGAAACTTCGTGAGTAGATTCATCTCACTGTAACCTACAACTATTTTATTTATGAAAACTTTTGGAATTGGAGAATTTTAATCTGGAGATCGGAAATTTTTTTCTATTTAATTAAGTATTAAAAACTCGAATATACCCACTTGCTTTTCACTTGAATCATACGATAATATGTTCACAAAATTGAAAAAAAAATTGCCCTAAAAAATATTGGGCCGTTTGGCCTATATAACCTCGTTATTTTGACTGGTTAGGGGTGGTTAACAAATTAATTCCCCTTTTATAATGCACTGAATTTACTAGTTTCAATAGATTATAAGCAATTTGCTTGCATTGTCATTTGTTTACTGACCAATTTACTATGAGTAATATTCGCACAGGCCAACTAGTAATATAATTATTATCTATACGGTTTATTAAACTTTTTTTGCGACATTTGAAGTCAATGACTTCGAAATATTGGAGGAGCTGGCCTCATTCATAAAACATTGGAGAGAGGGGAGAATACTCTTACGGAGTTCGTCGAATACAAGATCCTAATTGTGCAAACTTACGTATAAACAGTAATTCGCGCTAGCGAGCCCTAAACTGTAAAATTTACTGGCTCGGTATTTTTTTATTCCAGGTATACCAACCACGTTTTCCAGATCCGGTAAATACCTTTTCATAATAACAGTTATTTCTTAACTATTAGCAAAATATTTACAACATTGAATTTGTTCCTATTCAGGAAGTTATCTGAACTTCGCCTACACAGCAAACACAGTATTGTTTTATTTATTACAAGGCTTTAGCTAGACGCCATTAGCCAAGATTTTAAAAAATAATTATTATAAATGATTATTTATATATATCATTAACAAACATCCTTTATTTTTTATAATTTAATGCCTACTGAGTTTAAAAAGTGAGTTAAAATTTCCAGAATAGAATTAGGGTTTTTTATTAAATAAACGTAAGATGGATTGTCTTTATTTATCAGAATTTTAATTTTACTTTAAAATAGTATCTTTTTGCAGCATATTTAATGCGTGACATCAACATATGTTTCGGATCGTCCTTACCTTCACACAATTCACAATAATCTGTATATTTTTTCTTAATCATATGTAGGTAGGTACCTGAGATAGCATAATTAATTCTCAATCTACACATGGTTCTTACCCAACTTCTATCTAGGAGCTTTGCTGGAACCAGGGTTCCATTGTCACCAGTGGACAATGAGATTTATAAAACAAACAACTCTTTTTCTTCTTTTTCATAAATTTCCTGCCATTCCATCTTCATAGAAATGTTTAATTCACTTATGATATCTGAAAAAGGTATGTGGTATTTGTCCACCTGTCTTTTTGTTGCTTCCTACCTTAAATAACCAATGGGTGTATTGCCTTTAATACCTGCGTGGCCCATAATCCAAGCAAATACAATTGTTTTTCCTTGTCATTCAATAAAACGATTTTTTTCTAAAATTGAAATTATTAAATAAGAAGATTTTGAATTATAATTTTGATTTCCTAGTTTTTTTATGGAACTTTGAGAGTTTGAAACTGACATTTAGAATTAAATTTTTAATATAATTGATGTATTTTATATAATCTAGAGCGGCCAATATCGCTGTCAGTTCGACCGTGTAAACCGAGGCCTTTTCGTGTATACTAATAAGGACGCTGTGATTGTAGCATCAACTACCGTATCGATGGTTGCAATGCACCAGTGTTGCTGGTTAGGACGAAAACCACGGAAGAGTAGCTGCGTGCTAACCACCAAGACTCTACCGGCGCCAGTGGTCAGACGGTCTTTAGACACGCTA